ATTATTGAAAACTATGGAAATTGATTGATTTTATTAGGAAATATTATTGATAAGTCTCAAAGAACCACTGTCAAACAGTCAATGTGTTTATACAATCATAATGCATGAGCGGTTCGTTTTTGTTTTTCCTTTATACCCTGAGGATGTCTCTAGTGGATTCAGCCTTTATTTTAACAAAAAGTTCAGTTTTTGAACAAAAACCGGGTTTTCTGGAAAACTAGTGAAATTAAAGTTTTCGAAAGTGGGTTTTGACTCCACCAGAACTATATTTTTTATCAACGTAGCACTTCTATCTGCGGAATAAAACCACATGTCTGGCTGCTCTAGCCAAATATGCCCCCTGTGGAACCCCCAAAATTCAGCCGGCGTAGAGACTGATGAATGGCTGAGAAACCTAACATTTGTCAACATAACTAAATTTGTCTATCATGTTGAGTACTACCAGCGTGCAATTTGCCATAGTCATATTTCTATAATAAGTTTTGTAATGCAGTGTTCTGGTTCCTTCAAATTATTCCAAAACACACAATTTTTCTACATGGTCATCCAGAAAAAAAACTTCACACTTAATGTTACAATTAACATGCCTCTAAAATCAGTTGCAGATTAAAAAATAGCTGAATCTTTTACATCCCAATTGTAATCTTTACAGTCGACGTATATTTCACAAGACAGGGTAGTCCTTCACTTATGAGGTTTCAATAACAGGACGGACCTGCATACATACAGTCATAAAGTTAGGTCTATTAGACCTAATAATTGCCCCTAAATATGCGTATGCAGGTCTCTGAGACTCATTAGTCATTATATGTATGTCCGTCCGTAACACTCATTAATGAACAGGTGGATGGACGACCCTCCGTTTCCCAGGATGACTATATCTATGTACGTCCGTAGGACTGATTAGTCATTATGTATATGCACGTCTGTCACAGCCGTTGGCCATTACATGCATGTCCGTCCGTAATACTCATTAATCGCTATGTGGAGCCGCGTCCGTCATACAGTTACTACGTGGACGTACGTCGAACACATTAGTAATCAAATGTGTCTACGTACGTGATACTCATTAGTGTTTATGTGCATGCACATGCGTTACTCATCACTTACTAAGCGGGTGTACGTTCTTGACATTATGACATCACCATATGTAACTAATGAGTGTGACAGAGATAGATCTGCATAGTGACTGATGGGTGTCACAGACGTACATACATAGAATCACTAATGAGTGTGCTGCACGTACATGTCTGGAGTCATGTGCCAGTGTAACGGAAGTACATAGAGAAATTCATGTGGCAATGTGACGGACGTAGATCCACATTTAGTGAATAGTAAGTGTGCCGGATGTACATACGTATAGTCATGTTGTAGTGTGAGGTGCGTACATGCCCATATGCACGTGGCACTGTGACGAACGTACATCGACATAGTAACTAATGCGCTGTACGGATCTACATGCATATAATCTCTAATGAGTCTGACGGACGTAAATACATTTGATCAGTATTTAGCGTTATCAACCTGCATACACATTAATTTAGCGGCTAATAAGTGTCGCCAACCTACATACACGTAATCACTAGTGTGTGTGACGGTCACGTGGCACTGTGACGGACCTGCATAATAATAGCGAGTAGTGAGCGCGATGGACGCACATCTAAATGGTTGCTAATGAGTGTGATGGACGTACATACCTACTGTCATGCGCCAGGAGCACGGAGCTTCATACATATAGTCATGCGCTAGTGGAACGGGCATACATTCGTATGTGCCACTGTGAGGGATATATATCCACACAATAACTGATGAGTGTGACCGACGTGCATCTACATGGTGATTAACGAGTGTTACGCAACTACATACATATTATGACTAATGATTATATCGGAGGAACACACATATAAACAGTAATGAGTGTGACGGAAGTACTTTCATATAATCACTAATTATTGTCCATCACACCACCACATGACTGTATATATGTACGTCCAACCCACTGCCATATGACTATATGTATGTGTGTCTGTCGGCTGCCACATGACTATATGTATAATATATGTACAGGGTGGAAAATAATATTATTCAAGGGGGGTACAGCTGGAACGACAAATGATATCAAAACGAATTATATACCAAATGAAAGCTCATCGAAAAAGTAAAAGACTTTTCTATTTGTAACAGGAACAGGTTTTTTCACGTTCTTATTAAGCCTGATGCCCCTAACCGTCTTTTGTTACAATGTTCAATGGATAGCCATTAGAATGGAAGGTATGGGTATAATATTCTAATTCTTTTCAAATAGTTCATTAGACGAGCAAATCCTTTTTGCACGAGTACAAAGACATTTAATCAGATTGATTTTGTAACTTCTCGGCTGATAACTCGTCCATTTTAAATATAGCCCAGTATGCGTAGGCTTACGATAGACATAAGTAATCAGCTCATTAGTTTTTCTTTCCACCATAACATCCAAGAACGACAGTTTATTATCAGATTGAACCTCAACTGTGAATTTAATAGAAGGATCCAATTTGTTCATCCATTTTACAAAATTAAATATATCTTTTTGAGTGCCGTGAATAATGGCAAATATATCATCAACATAGCTTAAATAAATATCAGGTTTATTACCCCGGTATTTCTCAATTTCATTTTCAACTTCATTCATAAACAGATTAGCCATTATAGGTGCCAACGGGCTACCCATAGAAACTCCGTTGGTTTGATCATAATTTTTCCCATCAAACGTGAAATTAGTTCTTTTTGTACAATAATAAAATAACTCGCGCAAATCGTTATCATTTATTTTCCAAGTTGAATGATACCTTTTTAATGGCAATATCAATTGACTTTTCTAATGGAACAGTTGTAAATAGAGACGAAACATCAAGTGAGAACATAAGACCTGACTTATCCTTATTAGCATGAATTTTATTAACGAAATTAAAAGAATCATTAATAAACGAGTGCCCTTCTTTCATTGCTGGAGACAATAAATCAGCAATGTATTTCGCCGTTTTATAATTATAAGCATCATAACTTGAGATAATAGGCCGAAGAGGCTGGTTTTTCTTATGTACTTTGACGAGAAAATAAGCTTCAGGTGTGCGAGATCCTGCATCAGGTCTCATGCGTTTATACTCATTCTTATCAATAGCATTTTTCTTTTTTAATTTTAATAAGAATTTTATAAACTTCTTCTCTCGCTCATCAGTTGGATTTTCGTTCAGCAATTTAAAGGACCATCTGTCATCAAGAATAACCATTCCTTTCTGTATATAATCTTCACGATTCAAGACTACTATTGAGTTACCTTTATCTACTTTTGCTATAATTAAACGTTTATCGTTTGTCAATGTTTTTATAGCTTCAATTTCAATAATAGATAAAAGATAATAGAAAAAAGATCTAACGTGCCTAATCTATCTAATAGATCTAATAGACGAGTTATCAGCCGAGGAGTTACAAAATCAATCTGATTAAATGTCTTTGTACTCGTGCAAAAAGGATTTGCTCGTCTAATGAACTATTTGAAAAGAATTAGAATATTATACCCATACCTTCCATTCTAATGGCTATCCATTGAACATTGTGGACTGGAACAGTGAAATTCTGTAACGAATTGTAACGAAAGTTTTTTTTCCGAGATAGTGTAAACTTTATTTTAAATAATTACCTTGTTACTGTTCTTTTAAATTTTTGGGGGGGTACGCAACTTCATTATGTATAAGGTGGTATTTGTCTTATTATCTATTCTTAAATTCTTAAATTCTTATCCTTAAAAAATGATTCAATTAGTAAAATAGTAGAATGGGCTTCACTTGTGATCTGAAGCTGGCAAGTCCATGTTACATTACTGCATCCCACATTCTACGATGATTTTGCACAAGTGGATCGGATTCGAACACTTTTTGCATTCTCCGAATGCGCTCAAAACCTCTTCACTCTATGAGTGACCTTAAACCTGGACAAAAACTCCCATTTTTTTATTAGTTATGTTTCTTGTATCTTCACCTTACACCGGTATTCAATAAAGGGTATTCTATCTATCTATGTGCAAATAGAAATACATGAATTATGCTAACAAAACAGCATTCATCTATTATGAAAAAAAGATTTGTTTATCAAATGAAATGGTAGTAATAATAAGAAACAAAATAATTTACTTTAAAATATTCACAACAGTTTGTTCTTATATTTCAATATTGATAAATTCGTCCTGTATTCAGTATGCATTGTCCTCAGCGTTCAACTGTATATCACTAATTAAAAATGAATTTATGTCTGATATACACGAACTATCTAGAGCCTCTTTTGCTTGTTCCAGCAGCAACCTCATTTTCAAGTCGTTTAATTTCAGCATAAGATGAAACAGAATTCTTTTCGGACGTCCGTTAAGTTTTGTGGTGCTTGTTTACATTGTAGAAGAGCCTGATAAAAGAAAATGCAATTATATAAAATTTTTATGAGAAGATAGTGTAGAATATGACGTACCTGGTTTTTCCATTTCATACGACGATTTTCATACCAAGTTTTTATTTGTAATTATGATAAGTTTAATGTACCAGCGAATTCGATTCGATCGAGTGTGGATAAATATTTTGCGTTTCAAACCGTTTTTCAAAGCCCATCAATTGAGCATCTGAAAATTTGACATTTTTTTTATAAATATGGACTGAAATTTCCGATCCGATCTCGTAGATTTGAAACGCGTCCCGAACCCGAATCCGCCAGAAGTTTTTCGGGATCCCGATTTTTCCAAACTAAAACCCGCTCGACCCGAAAAGTTTTTTAGCGAAGTCCTCTCTTTTATTTCTGCATTAGTAAACCTCTACATGTAGATGTTCTGCTTCTTTTACAGCTAAGAAGGAGAAACTTAATCAAGATAATGGTAGTTTTAATGACTGTGAAAATTAAAAGACTTCAGGAAATTTTTTTTGGGCGGGTCTATTGCCACTTACAGAAGTGTCAACTAGAAGCTATTGCCACTTACCGACGTGGCACCAAGCAGCTATTGCCACTTCCAATAGAAAGTGTCAATAAGAAGCTATTGCCACTTCCAATAGAAAGTGTCAATAAGAAGCTATTGCCACTTCCAATAGAAAGTGTCAATAAGAAGCTATTGCCACTTCCGATAGAAAGTGTCAATAAGAAGCTATTGCCACTTCCAATAGAAAGTGTCAATAAGAAGCTATTGCCACTTCCAATAGAAAGTGTCAATAAGAAGCTATTGCCACTTCCAATAGAAAGTGTCAATAAGAAGCTATTGCCACTTCCAATAGAAAGTTTGTAATATATATTAGTTTCTTCTTATATCTGTAGCTTTTAGCTGACAATGACATCTATTGCTTTTCACGAACTTGACGAGTTCCTGGCGAAAACGTTTTTGTGGCTTTTCACTATCTGGATATACTGGGTACCTCATGGTTTATACATGGTTTTATTCACGTTGTTTTTTCTTGTTGTTTTGAAGTCGTGAGATAGTTTATAGTCTATAGTCTACTTCTTTTTTTCCTTTTGTGTATCGTCGATCATTCCTTATCTCTATTTATCTTTTATCTTATTCTAGGCCGCTTTTTTCTTTGTTTGATTCATACCGGTCGCCTCTTTCTATGAAGTGTTTTTGATATAATAAATATAGGAGCGTACATTCATTTGTCTATTCAGAGGAGAAGTGAATAGTAGTAAGAAGGTAGTCATGATTTTTATTGTGTGTCAGACTGTATTCTTCATCGTTTTATACTTTTCTTTTCCTTGTGTTTTTTATTATTTTCTAAAGTATATTAACTATCAAGTGGCATCATTCTAACAAGACAGGTGAGTACATTGCGCCTTGTCGTCTTTCTTTTGGAGCAGGAAGATTTTAATATTAGAAGTCAGTGGTCCGAGAACGAAAGGTCGGCATAGTACTTTTGCTTTAACATGTACTGTCCGACACAAAAGAAGACAAATACACAGGACAGACAACCACGTAAGATTGCTTTTGACAGATCACATGAAAATGCACAAGATAAATCACTTTTCGCACCTTCATGCACTTTCTTAACCTCATACCATCTCAAAAGCTAATTTTGACCAGAAAAACATTTTTAGGACAACAGAATTCATCACAGAATTTAGGCAAGCAGTGTCAGGCTCAAGAATATTTCAAAACCTAAGACTTAGGATTGAAGAAAATACGTTCATGTTCAAACAGAAACTAGTACGAATAAAAAAGTCATGTAATATTTTTTATTGATTATTTTTTTTTCTTAAGAGAGAGTTCATGAGAATACCGCCTGATAAAAGATAAATGTAAAAAAACCGTATCAAGTCTTTCACTGGCAAGGAGCTGTGTAATTAGACATACGCATTACAGTACAGGTTTGTTTCTGAGCGAAGCAATGAAATGAATCTAATTTAAAACGTATGCTAATTTTAATTTCGTTTCTTTGCATATTTTGTAGTGATGAAAAAGAATTACTAGTGGTTACATCGGAAGTACCTATTGTTTATGAACGTAACAGTACAACCGGAGCTTTTCGTGTCGTCGCCCGTCGCCAGTTCGGTCAAATATTAAATAATAGCCCCGCTGATGCTTCTGACAAAGCTCGATTCAAGAGTAAGTTTAGATACATCCAAACAATACTGATATATATGTGGAAGGCCTACCTCGACGTAGATTGAAGTAATCTACATGCCTATTATCTAAAACCCACGCTCCTAATCTTTAATCTCTAGAGCATTACAACATATGCTTTACTTTGTAGACAAGGATGTGGAAGGCAATTGGGTTCAAAGTTCATCTGCCTGCGACACGGTTGCGGATATGAAAACCGTTTATCTGTGTTCTGGCTGTGACATACGATGTCGGGATCAATCAAAAACAGATTGTAAACCCCCCCCCAAAATAGACGGCCACCCTATATTAGAAGGCCACCCCCTGTATAAGGCCATGTCCGAGCAAAAGTTCAAAGGCCCTATTAGAAGGCCATGCACTAATTAATTAATATGTTCCAA